CCCACCACACCTTTCAAAAAATTTCCAGATTTTCAAATCTCTTTACATTCCCCACCCTAACGGTCCCAACCCCCACCCTCCGTCCCTATAGAAAAATTCAAAAATTAAAAATATTCTCTACCATAATTGGCGCAAAACGATCTTACCTTTGAAAGCTTTTGTGGAAAACATTCTTACCTTTTGTTTTTTGGTGCATAACGTCCCTACCTTTCACATTTTTTGCGTTGAACATCCATTTCACCAATTTTTAACATAAAATAAACAATATACCCTCCTTAATAAATAAAACAAAAAAGAAAATAAAATAAAAATAAAAAATAAATTGCAATCTGCTCCTAAACTTTTTTAAAAATGCAAATCAGTCCAAAACTTATGAAAATATTGAAAATAACAAAAACACGCTCTCTCTTCTCCTCCACCTCCCTTTACCATCTCCACCGTCTGATGACCAATCTACTCTTCTCCACTGTCGCAACCTCCGGACATTGGTACCAACACAATCTCCTCAACACCCTCTACAATTCCATCCCAAGGATTCCCCATATCATCCAATAATCCAGCAGAAATCAGCAAGCAAAATCAGTTACTCAAAAAATGGACAAATTGCTGGAAGTCGCACCTCCGGCCAGCNGGCCAGCAACAGGTTCGCAGACTACCACCATCCGATAGCCCACACACAGACGACCTCAGCCATGTGGGCAATTCATCCAAAACACTTATCCAATATGCTCAATTTGAAACTGAAAACAATGCAGTGTGACTATTGCGTCGTACACTGAACTTGGCTGATTTTGACGTCGTCCTTTTGACCCATGGTCGTGAACCACTCCATTCGCCACTTTTTTGAACAGATTTGCATTTTAAAAAAAGTTTAAGAGCAGATTGTAATTTATTTTTTATTTTTCTTTTCTTTTCTTTTTTGTTTTATTTATATACGAGGGTATAATTATCATTTTATGTTAAAAAATTGGTTTAAAGGATGTTCAGCGCAAAGAAAGTGAAAGATAGGAACGTTCTGCTCCAAAAAACGAAAGGTATTGACGTTTTCCACAAACACCTTCAAAGGTTTTGACGTTTTGCGCCAATTATCCATTTTCTCTCTACAGAAGCTTTCTCTCTCTATACACATTTACAAACACAAATAATTTTACAAGTGGCGGTTGTTATGAGACGGCACTGTGTTAGAAAATAGATTTGCATGGTGACGGTGCATTGCAGGTCATAAAAGTACAGAGTTGATCTGTTTAATGGTGAAGGCGATGGTGGCAGTGGTGAGGTGATAGCAAAGTTTTAAGTACTGTATGATGGGAATAGTGTTGCATTTAATTTGACGAGATTTGTGGCTAATTGTGTTATATATGACTAGATTTATTGAAAGGGTGTGGGTGGGGGTGATGCCAACTCACTCCTGCAGCAACTACGGCTCACGGCAAGTAGAAATCGTCGATGCACCACAGTGGTTCGCCACTACGACGGAAAATAGGGGTTAGAAAGGGATGGGTGGGTGTGAGAAGCCGCCACTACTGCGAGAAGTACTCGTCGCTGCTACTGCGCTGGAAAATGGGGAGGTTAGAATGGGTGGGTGGGGGTGACGTTGCCTCACCCTTGCAACAGCTATGGCTCACGACAAGTAGAAATCGTCGATGCACCACAGTGGTTCATCGCTGCGTTAGAAAATGGGG